TCTTCCTCCACCATTGTATTTTTCTTTCCCTTTTGCTTATGTACATAATGGCTTCTCTTTGACTTATGTATGTGATGAGTTATTCTTAAAGCAAGGGAAACTGAAGAACAAGAAGCTAGTGTAGAAACAGATTTTGTTATTGTGCGTATAATTGCAAAGAGAAACATACTATATTATCATAGTGATTATAACTCATATGCAAGGCTGAAATTTGAGAATGATATGTTTGGATTTTAAACATAAATTTGAGAATTTAAGCTGATATTAGAAGATTGAATGTATCATCATTCAAAGAAAATTTGAATTTTTATCATTATCAATGTTAAAGTACATAACATGAAAATGGTAGCTCTTGAGGAAAGGAATGGCCAATCAATTATTAACTTTTATGTGGGTATAGCTCTAAATTTGAAATTATTGAAGAGCTTCTTTCAGTTGAATATCTGAAGACAAATGAATGAGAACTGAGCAATTTGAAGACAGATGAAGGAATGAAATACCAAACAAGGAGAGCTAACATACTTAAAAAATTTTAAAAATTGCCTACTCAGATGTAATTTACCATGAAACAAAATGATAGTTGTAAAAACAGAAGGAGTTTCATGTTTTACATGGAAAAATATTTGTGCATTAAAAAAAAATTCAGAATAAACTTTGTGAAAATTACCCTGACTACAGTTTAATTACATATTTGTTGTATTTTTCTGAATAGGCATTATGTTAAATTGTGTTAAAAGTTGAATATGTGTTGTCGTGTGTTATTAAACCTGTAAATTGAGAACAATCCAGAGGCTTGAAACAAAGATAGCTCATCTTCAGGCTACTGAATTTAATTATGAAGAGATTCCTCATTATAATTTATTTTGGCAATTTAGCATAGTCGGGATTTAAGAAATATTTTCAGTGATTTCAAAAATAAAAAACTTTATAGACTTTCTTGATTTGACCAACAATAATTCAATTTAGATTTTCCTTTTACTGTGACATAAAATTTTAACTTTATATTATAAGATAAAAATTTATAGTATGGTAAAAATGTTTAACACAAAGTTACCATAATATGGTAAAACACTTTGAATTGAATTTTTGTTTTCCAACCATGAAGTTACTGATGAGACTAAAAAGTAAATTTCAAGAAAATTAAATTATCAGTGATAACTTTTCATGAGAATTTTGTGATTTTTGAAAATTAAAACAAGCTCGCAGACTGATGATCCATTTTCAATAGAAATTGATAGTGGACAGAATGAGCTACAACTTCAGATTATACATCTGCGTTGTAAATTTTACAATAATTTGCAATAATTGCACTAATTTACAAGTCTGTAAATTTTACAATAATTTGCAATAATTTACAAGTCTGTAAATTTTACAATACTCTTGGTTCATATAAATTCAACAAACTTAAGGTTTTACTTAAAAACAATTGATTATTTTTCGGTCAAGCTACATACAGAAATAAACATTTTCTGTCATAGATTTCAGCAGAATTGTTTTATGATCAAGCACCACTGGTGACATTACTAGCAGTTTTAAGAAAGTTCTAATTTAAATTATTTCATTTATTTTAATTCACATTAATACTAATTTAAATTTTGGGTGTAAAATTAATTTTCAAATTTTGAAATTTTTTCAAATGGTAAGCAATATAAAATGGTACGAATCACCTCATGAAAATGCTTGTGTTAAAAATTTATTTATTTTTATGTATCAAATTCATTTTTAAAAGCAATTACAATACCTGGACACTATTTAAAATTGCTTGTTATGTATACAGACAGCCAGATCAGATTTGAAAATATGCCACAAAGAGTCTTCGATTTGTTATTTGGCTTTATAATGAGAATTTGTTACAAAATTGCCAAAACTGTAATGACTTAGAAAGAATATATCACATCTTCTGTTTACTTTCAATCTGTCTGATGAAAACATTATATATACTGCACCATTATAATTAACTCACGTGCTAAGGTTATTTATAGAACCATCTTCCTTCTAATAATATTTTCATAAAATTACATGTCCTACTGTTAAGAAAACTCGGAATTCGAAGTGCATATCTAGGATCAGTATTTAAGGAAATGAAACTTATAACCATGTTTCTTAAACATCCTATATACTAATATGTAACAAAATTTTTAAAATGCATGTAATAGTGAAAAGTCTATAGTTAAGTCATTTCACTCCAACTCTACTTTCATTGCATGCCTTTTTAAATTGCAGGTGAAGATTTCTTGGTTAAACAGGAAAAAAAAAAACACCAGTGTAAAATTGTGTAAAGTAAAAAGAACCTTAGTTGGTGTAGATTTCAAGTAACACTCATATATTTATATTTAATCTAAAATCTATGGTAAACCAGGATTGCTTTCCCCCCTCTAATTTTAAGGGTAAATTTTTTATTGAGAAAACATTGGCATTTGTTACTGGTGATTAATCTAGAAAAATTACCAAATAAAATTTATATTAACATTGTGTCTGTTTAAACAGAAATTTATTTATGTTAATGAGTAAATTACTATCAAATAAGCAGTTTTTCAAAAATCAAACTTGTACCCTGAGAGTTAATTGACATTTAAACCTATGCAAAATATTATGTTCAGTGTATAAAGTAATATAAATGAGGACCCAGAACAGATAAAGCTGAAATAATATTTTTGAAAAACACTATCTTTGATGCTTGATACCATTGATGTCTAATAGAAAAAAACATGTTTACCTAAAATAGTTGCCCAAAGATTTTTTATAAATGCTTGAATGACGGCAAAATTTGTCGTAAAGTTAGATTCTTAAAATATAAGGAAATATCATGTAGCTGTGAAGCAGCATTTAAGTGTTTATTTATTACTGGCATATTTTATAAAATAAGAGGTACCAGAAAAAGTAGTAGATAAATGTAAAAAGAGGATATCAGAAAGTTATGGAGAAAATTTTAATGCAGAATAATGTAATTGTATGTCTTTACGCACATTTAAATTATGCTTTCCTTTTACTGGGAAAGAAAGGGGGGAAAAACTAGGAAGTCATATTTTAAACTCTCTTTTGTTATTAAATTTATGTATGGGTGTCAGTGAATTTTTAAGAAAAGCTTCCGCAAGTCTTTCACACTTTTTTTCCTGCTTGATTTATTGAAGGCTGCAAATTTTACATTAATCCAATTTTAAAGATAAATGTCTTCTTTTAGCCTATTAATTAAATTTTATAGCTTGATATTTTTTTTATTACATCATTTGAAATTTGTTTCCTTTATGTTAAGGTATTCAAAAACAATAGCTACTGGATATTCCTTAAAAATCAGTTCTATTCATATTTTTTTGATAAAAAATATATGAGCACAATAAATATAAATTAGCATTAATATCATGGTTTCTTGAGATAAGATGTAGAATTTTAATATAATGGGTGAGAAGTATTCTGTCAAATAAAACCTTTATGTGGCTTTCATAGAATGAATATTCCAATTAGTAAAATGTGTATTATCCTTTAATAGTGGAAAACTAAATGTTCTGTTCTTCTAAAAGCAAACTTTACGAATGTACGTTTAATAAACATTTGCACCAAAAGAAATGTTAGCTTCAAATTTAATAAAGAATGTTCTTTTATGCAAGATAGAACCAATAATTATCAAATTGAGTGGCTTTATTTTGTAGCTGTTTCCTAAATCTGTTCTGTAAATACATAGGCAAATGACCTAAATCACATAAGTCATTCTTTTATGAGTATCTCTGCAAAATATAGATATGAAATAATGAAATCTTTTGTTTTAATCTAAAAAAAGCATAAAAGTATTCTAATGGCTGCATTTTTTATTATATGAGGTATGTAAAAAAAGTTAGTTTTAATCACCTCATCTCCCCCACGAAGTTGACAATGCTTCTTAAAATGCGGTGCTTTGATTTAAGAAACTGTAATTGAAAATGCGCATCTGAAGTAGAGCTTATAACCACTTTTTTGTATATTTACTGCCGTAAGCAAACACTTTATTGTAAGCTTTAGATCTGATCTGCTTGCCTTTCAACAAGAGGTGACTAGTGATACAGCTTGTTTATTCCTTCAAAATATTCATCTTCCCCTCACATACACAAATTATCTGTGCATACTGCATGCATTGGTTTTCTAAAAAGTATTGTTTTTGTCTCTTTCATCCAATTTGAATTAAAGTTATTCCAATTTGGAAACTTTCATAATACCTTGCAATTTGGAACATCAGTTATCTATTTATTTTAGTAATGATTGCCAAATAACAGTCGTGAGAGACTGTATATTTAATGTTTTCAATCTTCACCTGTCGTCTAGATACGTCACCATTATTCTAAAAGCAATTCTAGATTCTTGAAATGACATTTGGCTACTTTTAGGTCTTTACAGACCTGTGTCATTATCTGTTCTATTTCCATTCTCCCAATTACATGCCATTTTTTTACAATCCCTCAGATGTATATTCAATATGTTGTATCTTTCAAATGCAAAAATTTTATCCAACTACTTAATTAAAATTTTAAGCATCTGTTTCTCCAAGTGCCTAAAAAACAGGTGCAAAACTGTGCATACTTCTTTTGTCAATCCTATTAGACTGTGTAATACATTGAGCTACTGATCGATTATCTTTCATTGGACATTACTTAATAAAATTAGCGCAGAGGACCTCTTTATAGCTATTGACATTATTTAATAGAATTAGCATAGAGTACCTCTTTATAGCTGTTCCTCTGATTTTTCGTTCCAGAGTAAATGCATGCAACTTTTGATCTAAATGACAAATTGAAAATAACTTGATTGAATTAACTCACTAAAACTCACCTAAAATTAAGTTTATCATATATCATACAAAGTTTCACTTAATGTGAACTTGAAACAGTACTTTTGTGTGATGTAAATTGTGTTATTTGAGCAAAAAAAAAAAAAAAAATGTTTAGTTACTTTTATTAATATCTATATTTTATCTAGATGTCATATAAGAAACTTTTAGGAAGTGTGTCATATATGTGCTTTTATTATTTTAGATACTCTCGTTATATCCTAAAGGTATACTAGCAACAAATTTTCCAGTTTTATATAAAGTAAGTTTGGTTTATAACATAGCATTTAATTAAAATGTACTGTTAGGGTGTGTGTTTAAACATTATGAAAGAATGTTTTAGCTGATATATTTGCCAGCTGTAAGCATCTACCTTCCGAACCAATTGTACAGTACAAAATCTTTAATCCAGACGTCCATATTCCGGAATGATCTATAATCCGGATTTCAAAGCTACAAACTTTCTGCGCATGTGTATGCGCATAATACGTTTATGCATGCACGTTTAATGTATAACGGACAGTATAAGCTAGGCTAAAATTATCTAATTATCTATTTCAGTTAATGTTGCAGATTGTGTTGTTCCTTAACCTTCTAATTGGATCCGGCTTATTATTTTTTGCAGACTGTTAGAGCAATTTTATAAAAAGTAAGCTTGAACTTTTGATTATGTCAAAATGAGTTTCCGATTCTGGAGCTGCCAAAGGATCTACAAAGCGAAAGCTTGTTTCGATGTCCATCAAACAAAAAGTGGAACTGCTGCAAAAAAAGTATAAAGGCATATCCTTTGTTTCTCTAACCATTCCGAAATCTTATCAATTTCACGCTGCTCTGCCGGGGAAGGGGGGACGTCGCGGTGCGCTATGAACTGGAAGTTGATCTGTCAGCACTATTCTCATCTTCAGTTCAGATGTTTTTATTTTATTCGTTTTATAATTCCTTGCTAAATGTAGTATTTCATCTCGATGTACTCCATCTTTGATATGACTTAAATCAAATTCCTCGTCATTATAAATATCACGAATACACATCAAATAGTTTTCTGGTTGCAATTCTCTAATTTCGACTATGCGTAATGTATGCTTTACACATGCGCGCGTTGAAAGAAATATTTAATAAAGTAAACAAATAAATGTTAAGCTCTTTTTTTTTTTTTTTTTTTCTGTAAATTTTGATACTCTTTAGATCATACATAATTGCTCTTTATTTCATAAATTATGGTTTCATATTTTAAATTTTATAATTTCTGCATGCCATCTTACCAGATTTAAGTTGATGATCTATAATCCGGAAAAAAACACTTATCCAGAATCACCGAAGTCCTGACGAGTCGGGATTAAAGACTTTGTACTGTATACATATTATTTGGGAAAAAAAATCACAATATCCATTTGATTTCATTGAGAATTTTGTTTATTAATTACTGTATATTGTAAGAATATAGGAAGCAAGCTTTAAAACTGTGCTGGTGATTCTGAAAATTTTAATTTAGTAATCTGAATCAATTCAGACGTGCAGAAAATGTCTTGATCACGCATCTTTGTAAAATATTATATTTTTTAAATAGTTAAAAATTTTATAAATACTTAGACCACATCATAAAAACCTCTTTCATAGTGAAGAATGATTGGAAACCAATGTTGTTAAAGTTAGTCCTTCTTAGCAGGATAAGGGTGTATTGAGGGTACTGGATATACAGGCTGTCTCATATATCAATGTTTAGATTTTGAAAGGAAGCTGAAAGCATCAACATGAATCATATACAGGCTGATACTTAAGATGTCTTCAAGCCCCACATTAGAACTAGGAAGACTCATGTATTGTGATTATGTGCTGCACAACACTGCACCACTATGAATGTGTAAGTGAGCATCATCAGTGACTGAAGAAATAGAGTTTCATGAAAAATATAATTATGAATTTTCTTATTATGTTATATGTGTATTAAATCTACACCGCCTTCTAAAAGTTAAGTATGCAGTGGTAAAATCAACAAAAGTGGAAAACTTAAGCTTTGATCAATATGCAATTGCAGATGAACGTAACAAATGTGTTTATGCATGAAAGTAAACAAGCATTAAATACAAAGATGAAAGCAGTCTTTCATTTTTGTAAATTATTTGATGACGTCACATTTGAATCGGTATGTGACTACTCCAGTTCTTCACATAAATTTAAAGCTATTTTCCATACTTTCAATGCAGTGAACCTCGCAGATTCTAACAATGGCTGTTTTTCCATTAAAGCAGTTTTCAACTGTCTGAGACTGGTTGGAGGAAGTAAACATGCTGAGGCCTGAAGATATTCTAAATATTTTCAGTTCGATTAAGGTCAGGGGAACATGGCTACTACTCCATACAAGCAAGCTGCTTACTCTTTAAGTATTTGTTAACAATTTTGTCTCGATGGGAGTAAGTGTTGTTATCCTGAAGCATTGAGTCTCGCAACAGAATAAAGGATTTCATCCCCATAGTATCCAGCCTTCACAGAGCTGTCTTTAAAGATGTGCGATATTTTGTTGAAATTTTTGTCCACACTATGACGCTGCCACCTCTGCTCCAGTGCATCTGATAGCGCACTAACATTAGCTGTCTACCATTCATCTTCTTTCAGGCATAAAAACACAAATATCATCAAAAATTACCTAACAAAAGTTATAAATGCTTTATATCAGCATTTAAATAAACATCCTCTGATCCTTCAGAATGCTGGTTTTTTTCAGTGACAGCTTAATTATCATATGTTCGAACAGACAATGATGGATTGCTTATAACATACGATATTTGCTTACTGCCATCTGCATCTGCATCGGTTTCAGCAATTCAAATTCAACTACATTTTTTTAAATTGCTAATTTTCACTGTGTGCGTAACTTTTGGAAGCCAGTGTAATATTGAAAAGGAGTCTAAACTGAACCATTCTTCAGGCTCTTCCAAATAATAAATTAGCATTTAATATTGCTACTGAATATATATATATATATATATATATATATATATATATTATGTATATACAGGCTTTATTATATATTATTCAGGATAAATTCATAGTTTTAATTGAATTTCTGTTCCTTGGAGATGGTTTATAAAACGTTTTCTAGTTTATAAATCATATATATATATATAAAATATAAAATATCTATCCTTCAAATAATAAATTAATAATAGCCCCTTAACTTCCATTTTTATTCTAAAAATAACATAGAAATAGTTTTTCTAACTAAACTTCCTGCAGTTCTGATGTGCACTATCGATGAAATCTGAACCCAACATCTGGACATTAATCTGTCATGGAATCTGAAATGGTATAAAAGGTAATTGCATTGCAACTCCCCCCCCTCTTCTCTTCAGCATCAATTCGCTGCACTGCTTTCTCATTGCCATGCAGAGTTTACTTTTCCAGTTTTCGTCTATTAGTTAAGAAATGTAAGCTGTATAAAATTATGGGGTGCATAGCACATGCATAGTGATGATGTGTATTATCATGGACTAAAGTTATGTTTCCCAAATCAGCAGCCATGTCTGTCTTCATGTGTCATCTTTCTAACTATACAGTTAAGCCTCTCCATTGCCAGTCTGCTGCAGCTTTCCACCAAGTCATCTTATTACATATATCTATATATGTGAATAAGAAAAAACAATAAAATTATCTTCAATGAAGGAGAAGAAAAACTGTTTATCATTCATTCTATTTCTCTTCTGATCACTTTATATCTTTAAATATGCATTAATAGTGATTACAGTCTAGATTCAAAATAAAGACTTCAAATAAGAGATTGAATTAAATGCTTAAAATTTAGAGATTTACTGTATGTATTAAGTTTGTTAAGTAATAATTAATAGTCATTACACATATCAATGAAATATTTTTTATAAATCTTCAAAATTTAATTAATTTTTTTTTTAATATTAGTAAATCTAAGTAAATATGATTTAACAATTTTTAAACTAAAACTGTAAAAAAAGTATTTCAGATTAATTTTAAATAATGATTTAACTTTTAATATTTTAAATTGATCAAAGCTTATGAAAAATGTCAAAAATATTAAATGATCAGCTTTATAATATAAAGAATACAAAAAGAGCAAATTGTCCATCCCAGAATATGAGCTTCAGCTCATGCTTCATTATACACCTGGTAGAAAAAAAAAACTGATTAAAAACACCAAGTTTAGCAAACAGTTGCCAGATTTATAAGCATATTGAAAATGCCGAAGATTTCCGAGTAGCTACGGTATGCATATAACTTGAAAAATGGAAGGAAAAAGGTATAATTTAATTGTCATAGTTTTGCATATGTTCTAAGATTATCTAGATTTGAAATATAGTATCACTATGTTTCTGTGCTGGACCTTTAAGACCACTGTACATTAAATGCTCATTGCTTCTGACATGTGATAAAGATTGGCATTACTTCTGTAAATGTCTGTAAAGCTTTAGGTATGTTTGAAAATGTTCAGCACTCTGTGCAGCATTGGTATCAAAGATGCATCACTGCAAGTAGTTACCACTTTGAAAATCTTGAAACCGTATTCTATGTCTTTTAGTTTGTAAACTATTAAATTTTGCTTAATAAAGCACTTGGCACTGCTTGCTGTATTGTATCTTTGTGTCTGTTCTATATACTCATGTTCTTTGTCTCTCAAAGTTTGTATGTCAAGCTCTGAAATATGCTGTATGTTTTTTTTCCCTTTCAATTTAGTAAATTTGTTAAGAGTAGATGAACTAGTTCTCTGATCAGCTTAATTGTACAAAATGGAGCGAGGTGCACAGTTTCATATAGTCTTGATAAAGGAGTACCAAGATACAGTATATGCATTATAAGTACAAAAGCAACGTTTTACTTTAAATTGTAGACAACAACAGATCACATTGGAGTAAGAGTTAAAAAACATAGCAAGGGGAATAGTGTTACTGATTTACCCAAAATTTTAAGCACTTTAATTTAAACAATAAGTTCATTTGGTTATGTAAATTAAATAAGCATTCAAAACAACAGCCCATTTCAAAGCAGAAAGAGCAGTGTTCCTATTTATATTTCTATTGTGTTTCAATAAGAATCTGTAGAAAATGAAAATAAACAGCTGTGCACTTAATTTATTTTAGTGAATTAACTATTTTTAGGGGATTGTTTAAGTATTTATATATTCCAGATATGTACAATTAAATTAAATAATGTTATAGATAAAAACAATTCCTAAGTAGTGTGACATCATTTGCTGTTACTGCTGTTATCTCATGCAATTTCTTCTTTTTTCGTTTCCTATATAAATTTTGTTTAATTCTGTTGATTTGTGTTAGTATTTCCGTTGTTACAAAACAAACTTTTTTGAGGAAAATCTGCTTAATCTACACTCAATTACTTGGGAATTGACTATATTTCTGTTTATTAAAAATGTTATAATTTAAAAAAATATAAGTAGGTAAAAATTTGCAAGTTAAATTAGTGATGTTCAAAACTTACTATGATTTTAGAACTTACCTCTGAATTCTATTTTATTCTTGTAATTAATGATGTGATTTTGAGTTTATTTATAACAGTAGATTGTTATCTTAATTCACATTGAAATATTAATGAATTGGTAAATGTGTATTTTAAAATAAAAATTTTATAAATAAGGCAGTGTAATTTATACATCTATCTTTGTGTATATATATCATATAGGAATGTCTTATTTTCTTCTATCTTGTGCTATTACTGATACGTTAAATATTTAATATTAATCTAATGAATGAAAGTTTTCTTGCACGATATTTATGTGTAAGATTTAGTGAAAGTATTGCACACTTTCTCTGGTAAATACTTATTAAATTTTATTGCACATTTTAATAAATCTAAATTGTACAATTTATCATTTTATGAGTGCTGAAATTGATATTAAAATTTTTTCCTAGAAAACAACTGGTGATAATTTTATTCTTCATGATCTTGGCTACACTTCTTTATTAGAACTAGCAGATGCTTTACCCAATATTTTCTTTCGAAAATCTGTTCCTGGCAGTACTAACGATTGGCTTTTCCTACCTGCAGATTCTCCTCTCTGCAGCAATGGCTCTTCTCAAGGTACTGTACTATTATGATATTGTCTCTGCCTTATTTATTTCATATTTATGTTATGGTCTCAAAATTTGTGTATGCTTTGTAAAGATCGGCTGGGAATAGAATACTGTTCTGTGTTGATATAAGAGTTATTTAAAATTAGGGCTAAGTTTTATCATAGCAAAAAGAAAGACTAAACTCAAGAGTAGTCAGTGTAAATTGTGAAGTATTATGGCCTGGAATTATCATTAAAAATTTTATGAAAAAAAACTTCCTTAGCTATATGCTAACAATGTTCAGATATACATTGCACATATCTGACACTCTATTAATTGTAGAACTTTAGAGCAAATGCTACTCTCATGGGTCTGTTAACTCAGCATTATGGGCATTTGTGATTACAGTGGGCCCATGAACATTCTGATTGGAGCACACAATGGTAAGGAGTTGCTTAGTTGCATGAAGCACAATTTCTTTTACATTAAGTTGATGGTCATGTCAGGGTATACATTCTTCTTAGCAAACACTTGATTGACACACATGTCGCACGCATGTAGTGGAAGTATCATGTTTTGGAAGACATTCTCCCAGACCTCCCAAGGAACATTGTTCTTTTACGACATACCGTACCAGATGTGGACTATGTAAACATCATGGTTAAGTTATATCCTTTTATGGCTTCTGTCTTTTCCCCTAGAAAGGGACATTTCCAGCAGGGCAATGCTTCTTGTCAAAACAAAAATTGTCCTAGAGTGCTTAAGAAGATGCGAATAAATTTCTAGTTGATGTCCTTCCTTCCTAATTTGCCAGATATTAACCCTATAGAGCATATCTTGGATGTCATAAAACACCAGCTCAGAGCTCACCAAGCACTTTCTCATAATGTATGGGATCTGTTTGACCTGTGCTTGCAAATTTGGTACAGACTCCATATATTTGCTTCTGAACATTTACCAAGGACATGGAAAAACTGCTTCATGACTGAGTGCAGCTGTTTTTTGTGCCAAAGATTGAGCAACATGGTTTTATTAGGGTCGTCTTAATGTTTTTGCTAATATCTGTGTGTAGGTTTACCAGGCATCTTACTTTGACTGGGACTGGCATGGTTTGATGATGTGTTCTAACCAGTGTCTCATTTTGGGCTAGTTATTTAGGAAAATTTTAAAAGCTCTGAGTATGTAAGAAGTAAAAATAATGTAGGTTTGGCTAAGATGTGATTTGACAATTTAAATATCCCATGTTCCCTTCTGTTACTCTCACTGTTACTAGTCTAAATATTTTGTATGTATATTTCAATACTGTAAAGGTTGTCTAGATATTTCACCCCAAAGTTATAGCATGTGGCCTAATGAATATAGATTTTTTTTATTTTTTCATCCAGATATTTTTTCACAGAATTTGTAATATCATGTAGCCTGTGAGATCTAGATATTTTCGTTTCATTTTTTTAGATACAAGGGCTGTCTGAAAAGTTTCCAACCTAAAGGAAAAAATTATTTTTTCTCCAAATTACCTTTACTGTTGGACATAGTCTCCTTGTAAGTCTATACATTTCTTCCAGCGATGCTCCCATCCTTTGACCCCACCCAAATAATATATGGAATCTTTCTCTGCAAAGTAATTATTAGCAAAGTTCATAACCTCCTCATTTGATGAAAATCTTTATTTTCCTAGTGCTTCTTTTAACTTAGGGAAAAAAAGTCACTTAGTGCCAGGTGTGGCGAACAGGGTGGGTGGTCAAGCAGTTCAAACTGTAATTCATGGATTTTTGCCTTTGCAGCTGCTGAGGTGCGAGATGGAGCATTGTCTTGGTGAAACAAATTTTTTATTTTTGCAAATGGGGCTGTTTTAACACAATTTCTGCCTTCAGCTTTTCAAGTAATGTTGCATAGTATGCTCCGGTAATGGTGTTTTCCTTTTCGAGGTAATTTATTTAGACAATCCCATGGCTGTCCCAGAAAACTATTGCCATCATTTTCCCAGCAGTAGAACAGTTTTTTCGTTTTTTGGAGCCAATTCTTCCTTTGCACTTCACTGTTTTGACTGTGTTTTTATTTCTGGGCTGTAATTATGATCCAGGTTTCATCTATGGTGATAAATAGGTGAAGAAACTCCAGTTTTATTGCACTAACAGAACGGTGCTAATGTTCGTTCGGGTACGTTTGTGACAAGGAAGGAAGCAAATTTTCAAGAAAGCAAATGCGGAACCCAACATGCAGCCAGCTTGCTCCTATCTAAATCTTGGTTCAACATGGGGCAAACACATTCTTTTGACATACTTATAGCCTCTGCTATCTCTCTAACCTTGATTCAATGGTTATCCAGCACCATTTGGTGGATTTTGGTGATGTTTTTATCAGTGGTTGCAATTTTTGGTTATCCTGAACGTTCGTCATCACGCAAGCTGGTACGGCCATGTTTAAATTCAGCTGCCAAAAATTTCACAGCAGTAAATGATGGTGCAGAGTTCCCGTACCCTGTGTCCAACTCCTTTTTAATCGGAGTAGGTATATTATTTTTCAAAAACAGGCATCTAGTGACAACACAGTACTCAATTTTTATGCATTTTTGCAAAAGCAGTCACATCAACTCACAAACGTAATTGTCAAACAAAAAATTCACTTTCAAAATAAAATAGCTGAAATTTTGATTGGTAGTTATCAGGTGATGCCCAGACAAGCCCCCCTTTAAATAACAAGTCTGAAATTTGGCGAGTTATTTAATATTTAGAGGAAAGCTTGCATTTGCAAGGTTTCCAGAATTTCTTTTGAAGTTTGGTCTGTTATAAAATAATTGCCAGAGATGTTGCTTTTTCTCTTCTTAATTTTTATTTACATTAAGAGTGATGAAATGGCATTATTCTTTTTCATTTCTTAATGATAGTAGATTTTGTTAATAGCCACTTTCAATAAAATGTTGCCTTTATTTTAATGGGGAAAGTGTTATATGTTTTACTATTTCAGGTGAGTCACATAAAGAAAGTGAATGTGAAGGTGAAGAATTCAAAATAAGCATGGTTTTGATTTTTAAAAATATCCAAGAACTGTTGTTGGCTTATTCTCCTAAAGGCGTCAGAGTGGATGATTTTCTTAATTTATACACTGTAAGAACCCTTCTTATGTCATACTCTATTTATCAGTTGAAAAAATATTTTACACATTCCCTAAATCTGTGTAAATTTCTGTATTTTTTTTTGTTAGCTCTGATTTTAAAAATTAATTTTTCAGAAAAATTTTAAGGTGCCTTTGCATCTTAATAGACTTGGTTTTAAAGATGTTCAAGAATTTTTACTCACAGTTTCCAGACATGTGCCTTTGAAATTTCAGATTATTAGAGGTATGAATATGTTTGTTTCTTATTCTTAACAGACTTAAGTGCAATAAAACTTTAGAATAACATATTCTTAAAATAAAAAGGGAAAATTGAAATATTTAATAAGCTTGGTAAAAAACTGAATGATTTTATTAACTCCTTTTTTATATAAAATTTTAGAAGATTTTATTTCAGTCTACAAATAATATTATAGTAGATAAATTTGTGGTGTATTGATGTGAGTCTGTGTGTATTGTGCATTAAATTGTAGAGATCAATAGGTTGTATTGATACCAGAGATGGAGAAAATATGCAGTGCCCTCGCTGTGATTCGAACACCAGACCTCCTGATTGCTAGCCTGATATGCTATCTAGTTACACCATAGAGGCATTGCAGAAAAGAGAGAAAACAATCCCTTGCATACTTCCATTGTATAGGAACACTATAGTACGTAGGCAACTAGTCTTCCGTTTACAGAACAATGACTTCGGTTGTATAAATCCTTCCTCAGGCTTGGAGTGGGACCTGCTGTGGGGAGTGTGATGTCAGACAAATCATCTTCTGGTCGATAATCAAGAGATTTTTTAATGATGGCCATACTGCACAAGTCCATTTGGGCTACCGCATGTTGATTAGCGATGCATAACATAAAGCCTCTTCCTTAAACTGGGATAAATGTCAGAGATTAGGAGACCTAGTCACCGAATCGTGGTGTTGGCAAACTATCATCTACCACCTTATAGTTTGGGTACAACTTGTAGAGATTATAAGTTATTTCTCCCGCCTTCTTGGCATGCCTTCATTGTGTGGTGGTCTGCACACTGGGCGTGTATTCCAGAGGTCTGCGGTTCGATTCCCGGCGAAGACATTGCTAATTTTTCATCTTGCCTGCTTCCAAAAATACCTAATGTCTCTACAGTGGCGCCCGAACTAAAAGGGTGTTAGATGATGATTCTCCTCACTCAGGATTTGGCGATTGGGTCCCCTAAAAACCCCAGTCACCTTTAAAAGGGGGAGTATATAAGGTATTTCTCCCGCCTTCTTGGTGTGCCATGTATTCCAGAGGTCCGTGGTTTGATTCCCGCAAAGATGTTGCTCATTTTTCAATCTCTTTTGCTTTCACAAAATACGTAATGTCTCTACAAGATCATTAGGTTATATCAATGCCAGAAATATGGAAAATGTGCAGTGCCTTCACTGGAATTCAAACATTAGACATCTTGATTTCCAGCAAGATGTGCTGTTCACTTACACCATGAAGGCCCATGGAAAGGAGGAAGAATATACCTTATAAAATCTTTTTGAATTTAAAAGATATGAAAGTGAAAGTTCTCTAGCTTGTTTCTTTTATTATTATAATTTGAGTATCTTATGAAAACACAGTTCATGTAATAACTGTTTTTATAAAATTAAAACTTTTAAATACCTTTTTCATGTTATGATGAAGTAAATATATGCTATTTCAATTTTAAAAGATTAAGAATCAAGTATTAGTTTGCATTTTTAGTCTAGTAATATATTTTATAACAAAAAAATGAGTGTAACTTTAAAAATTAAGTAAGCTAATTAATTGTAAATTACAAAAACAAAGAAATGTGTAATCATGTTATAAAATGAATGCATTCTTGTACTGATCCACAGCAAAATTGAGATTTTCTTGGTTAAAATTTGTGTACAACATGATGAATATAACACTCACTGCTGCAGAAGGCAACGTATTCTATTGACCATCTAACTACCACTATGCCATTGCTGAAAATGGAATTAAACATAGATCTGCCTCAAATGCTCATACGTTGTTCATAGAAATATTCTTTCAATTGCAAAAATGTTTTGTGTAAGAGAAATATTCATTCTTTGTATCCTTGATTTTTTTTTAAATGTAAAATTTGCAAAACTATCTTTTTATAACTCGATCCTTATAATTTTATTTAGTAATTTTGTATTCATTTTTAAAACAAATGTTCAGTTTACAGAATATTTAGCAGCAAATTCCACAACACATTTGAGACTTGTGAGTCAGTGGAAGACTGAATATTCTAATGCATAGCCAACCTGCACTAGGTATAAGTAGCTAATGCACTGGGTGGTTATAATTAAACTTTCCCTATAAACAACATCCTACAGCACAAACGGGTGAGCGGAATGCACCAAAATTTTGTATATGGGGATACAAGATGCGCTCACGGAATTTCAAAAAAAAAAAAAAAAAATTTAGTTCCAAAATGTCCAACAGAGAGCGAGCGTCTTTTCGGGGAAAACGTAAAATTTAACACAATAAATGACCAAAACGGAATACAGAAACAATATTAACAATCCAGAGCAAGAATTATGAGTAATAAAATGGAAATTGGGAAAAGCTGTCAGTTGTAAGAGAAAAATGTTGAAGTTTGCATGCTTGGAAAGAAGAGGAAGCTTTATACAAAACAAGTTAGGGTATAAAACATTTGCAGGCGTTGTGATGTTTAAGTCGATATTTCGGCTGTACTAATTACGGTCTCTTTATTTGAATGTGCATTATTGGTGTTCACTCCCACGCCTATCGAATTAATTTCTGCCTTTTCGTTGCCCTGCGTTGGCAACATGCTTTTGAGATTTGTCGTTCATAAGATTCGGTCGCTAAAAGCGTAGCTGGCCTGTAACGGTTGTAATTATTATTTTATGCTTATCTGTACTCCTGAATTATTACTAAATGTTTACGTGTGAATGTTATATTATTAAATGTATTCAGTTTGGTTGAAATAGACCGAGAGTGACTGAATTTATTAAGTATAATCAAAGTCGAAACTGCGTCATCCATGTCGGCGCCATTCTAATACGAGGTACGTAAACATCATTTGGAGGCACGCCGGCGAGATCATATCAAGAATTTGTCAGCAGTTCAAATACAGATAAGTGATGATTTTTTAGTTCGATTTACATCTAAATTTGATTCTTGAAGTTTTATATCTATTTTGTATTGATTTTGATTTTGAACTTGAATACTTCGATTACTTATTATGGATCAAGCTACTGTCATTAGATTGTGTGGTAGGGCAAAAGCGGCCTTCACAAGGCTTCAGAATACTATTTCTTCCGATTTATCTAAAAATGAAGTAATTTTGCATCTGGAGCGCTTAGAGAGGATTTATTCAGATTTTGATAAATTTGATGCCCAATTACCAGAAGAACAGTCAGAAATTGAAGATTTTGAATCGAAGTATTTTAGTTTGAAACTTCAGTATCAAAATTTATTAGATGTATTAAATGCGGCTAATTTGCCAAATGTTACAGGAAATTCTAATACAGTCAAAAGTCGTTAATTCGGACACCCATAATCCGGAATGATCTATAATCCGGACCTCAAAGCTAAAATCTTTCTGCGCATGCGCCGCATTGACGCATGCGCACAGGCGTTTTACTCGTGCGCGCAAGACATTTTCGACTGCGCATATGTGTCTGCGCAAGTGCAGAATACGTTTTCGCGTGCGCGTTTAATATATAACGGGCGGTATAAGCTAAAATTATCTAATTATCTATTTCAGTTATGTTGATGATTGCGTTGTTCCTTAATCTTCGAATTGGATCCGGCTTATTATTTTTTGCAGACTGTAAGAGCAATTTTCTGAAAGTAAGCTTGAACTTTCGATTATGTCAAATAGAATTTCCGATGCTGGAACTTCCAAAGGATCTACAAAACGAAAGTATGTTTCGATGTCCATCAAACAAAAAACGAATTGCTACAAAAAATGGATAAAGGCCTATTCTTTGTTTAACCGTTCCGAAATCTGTTTATCAATTTCACGCTGCTCTGCGCTGGGGGGGGGGGACGTCGCGGCGCGCAATGAACTGGAAGTTGATTTGTCAACACTATCGTTATCTTCAGGGCAGATGTTTTTATTTTATTCGGCTTATAATTCCTTACTAAATGTAGTATTTAATTTCGATGTACTCCGTCTTTGATATGATTTAAATCAAATTCCTCGTCATTATAAATATCACAAATACAAATCAAATAGTTTTCTGGTTGCAATTTTCTAATTTCGGCTATGCGTAAGGTATGCTTTACGCATCCGCGCGTTGAAAGAAATGTTTAATAAAGTAAACAAATAAATATTAGGCTTCTTTTTTTTAAAATTTTGATACCCTTTAGATCATAATTGCTCATTATTTTATAAATTACGGTTTCATATTTTTAATTTTATAATTTCTGCATGCTATCTTACCAGATTTAAACTGATGATCTCTAATCCGGAGAAATCGATAATCCGGAATCGCCGAAGTCCCGACGAGTCCGGATTAAAGACTTTTGACTGTATTAGTAACTTTAGGTTACCTAAGTTGAATATTCCTATTTTTTCGGGTAACTTTAATGACTGGATGAATTTTAAAGATTTGTTTGTTGCAACAGTGCATAATACTTCTTTATCGAATATACAGAAATTTCAGTATTTAATCGGATCACTTGCTGATGAACCAGCTTCTGTAATTAAACATATTCTGTTATCAAATAATTCTTATGAAGAAGCATGGGCAAAATTGCTCGCTAGGTACGATAAAAAGAAACAAATCGTACAATCGTTAATTAAAACATTCATGGATCAAAAATGTATTTCACAGGTTGATAATGTTAATTTACGGCAATTAGCTGATACTTCTGATGAAGTTATCAGAGGTTTAAAAGCTCTTGGTGACAAAGCAACTTCTAGGGATCCATGGTTAATATTTATGTTGCTTCAAAAGGTAGATTCAAAAACTCGAAAGTTATGGGCACAGAAAACTGCGGTATTTTCCTACACTGGAATCATTTTTTGAATTTTTAAATTTAAGGTGTTCTTCTCTCGAAATTATCATAAATAAAGAAGCGGAAGCTAAAGTTTTTGATAAAAGTAGTAATGTTAGTTCTAAAACATTACAGAATTCTAAATTTAGTAATACTAAATGTTCGAAATGTAACGGACTTCATGCGTTATATAAATGCGTTAAATTTAAGAATTTGGATGTTACTGCTAGAAAGAACTTTGTACAGAAACGAGGATTGTGT